AAACATACTGGCTGTACCCAGGTTCAACCCTGGCAACCCCCATGGACTAGTACATATCGACGAGACTGACAGATCGGAGGGTCCAAGCGGCCACGCAGAGGTATCGACAGTTTTTCAGCAGGTTTTGCGTTATCAGCAGTCTAGGCAGTAGACCCTCCCCTTCTAATGGCCCATGGTGGAGCCAAGTTAAGTCCCTGATCCTCAGACCCTCTAAGACCAAGAACTCGAGCAGCCCTCCCTATGGTCCTATCCAGCTGCCAGTATACTACAACCATGGACCTAGAACCCTTGGCCCTCGGGCGGTTCGCAGGCAGTGTCTGTATGAATCTTACCATGCATCGTCCCGACTCCCAAGGGGAGTGTGTGAATGGCTTGTGCATTATGAATGCGCTTCCGGTGTACGTGCACGAGGCAATGGAGTTTTGAACCCACGACCTCATTCCACAATGCACATTTCCCGCAACCTCATTCCACAATGTGCATTTCCAAAGGGTGCTTAACCACTGAGCCAACGGCCATCCACCTATTCCAGTCATTTCATCCTTCTTTCTGTCAAATCTCCTTCTTTCCATTCCACTTTTTTTTTTTTTTTTTTTTTTTTTTTTTCCGGGGCGCGGGGACTAGAACTTTGGTGTGTAATTTAACACTTCATGGGTCTACCAACTGAGCTAGGCCCTCTGGTCATTCCACACGCCTTCATTCCATCGATTTCATGCTTTCCTTTCAGCTTCATTCCTTACCTCTCTATCCGTTCCATCAACTTCCATGAATACAGCGCTGTTTATATACCTTCCATTCCGTCCACGACCACGACATGACTCCATTCACCCTAACATTTGCGCGTACATCGCTACGGCTACAATGAACGTAATCAAGAGAATGAAAGCTTGCTGGTTTCTAAACATAGACATCACACACACACGTGGGACTTGGCCTGAAGCACCAATTCCCACCCCCAACCACCGAAGCTCATCCTTCCAGCCGTTCCTTCCCTCCACTTTCTCCTGATCTGCTGGGTGCAATTTTCTTCACGCTAGCTCACTTAACTTTCAAATCAAAGAGGCACCCACAACTGAGAAAGATAAAAATTAAGAACATATACTGGGCACTTCCCTCCATGTTGCTCATCAGGTTCACAGGCAGATGCAGCTTTTAAAGTCCCATTGTGGGCAGAAAGGGAGAAAAGAACAAGAAAAAGGGGGGGCTGTGCCAATCCGTCTCATCACACTTTCACCAGCTCATTGAAACTGCCCGGTAAAGTAGGGGTCTAGCACGTTATTTAAAAGTTTAAACTATTTTTTGACTTGCGCCTTCAAAGCTGTTCCCACATGCCCCACTGCATAATCTGGACTCTCACCCACCCACGGACTGTGCGTTCGCATCACCCTTAACCCCTTTTTTCCCAACAAACCAGAGATCCCAGAGTAAAGCTGGTTCCCTCAAATGTACAAGGTCATACAAATCTTTGATAGCGCACCTGGCTTTTGGAACAAGGTCCACTGAGGGGATGGAAAGGGGAGAAGCAGTTGGAGAAGAAAGAGAAAGAGAGAGAGAGAGAGAGAGAGAGAGAGAGAGAGAGAGAGAGAGAGAGAGAGAGAGAAAGAGAGAGAGAGAGAGAGAGAGAGAGAGAGANAGAGAGAGAGAGAGAGAGAGAGAGAGAGAGAGAGAGAGAGAGAGAGAGAGAGAGAGAGAGAGAGAGAGAGAGAGAGGCAAGGACAGAAAGAAGAGAAGGGAGAGTGGGAGAGGAGGTGGGCAAGGATGAGAAGAAGGAGGAGAAGTAGTCAGATAAGAAGCCAAAGAAGAGGGGAGCCCCAGAGTAGTAGGGAGAGGCAGAGCCAAGGATGATGTGAAAAGAATTATTTAATTGTAAAAACAATGAACCCTGAGTCGCTAAAAATGAAGATCAAAACAGCTTTCCCAAAAAAAAGAGAGAAAAAAATAAAACCAAAAAAAAAGAGAGTAAAAATAAAACCCAACAGATAGCTCCAAGTTGTAAGAACCTCAAAAGCAAACTCTTTTGGAAAACTTCACATCCTGACAGTTCCACCTTCAGAAAAAAAAAAAAAAAAAGAACCAGACCCTCTAAACAGAAAAAGAGAGGTCAACCAACCATCCACACCCATAGAGTGGGATCTGCAACATCTGAACCATGAGTCATGCACAAACCCGCCTAAGACACCATAAGCGAACATTATTATTAAGTACTGCAAATATTTATATCTGATCTATCAACCTTTCATCCACTTTCAACTTGATGGACTTTCGAGAAGAGAAAGTCCTCCGCATTGGATGGATCTGTGTCGCCTAAGACATTGTTTCCGGCACATGGCCTCTAAGAACACTTCCATGGTGGTCCAGAACATGTTCCATCTTCCCCAACTCTGCTCAGCAATTCCCATGTCCACCAACACGCATGCCCTTCCTGGCCTCTCACATTGCAATTGGTTATCTGTACGGAGTGTGCAGCGATCGAATACCGCCGCCAACAGTGACTATGAACAGAGGAGGGGCCTGATTTTCTATTCTGGATACAACTCCGGCGCTCCACGGGTGTTTCTCGATCCCCTTCCTTCTTTACAGCCAACACAATCCAAGTCCAAGACACGGTAGCCAGGCCTTTTGAAGAGTGGAAAGCCTCTCCAAGTGGTCTACCCAAGCTGTCTACAGCCTCCAGAGGATCGCCTACGGTCCCACATCTTCTGTGAATATCCTTGTAACTTCAGCAGCACTGTCCAAACACATCATCATCAAGATCAAGGGGGGCAAATCAACCCCTCCTCCCTCTACTTGCCAAACGTATCGATGACATTATTACGGAGCAAAATCGCTCTTTGTATACAAATAACTTGGCTCTCGCAACCATCAAACTCGCAGCAAAATGCGATACTCACGGTACCTTGAAAATGTATCTTGTGCCATGTGTGACAGTCACGTAGATGTCAGATCATCCCAGACAGGGCCATCAGAGTTGGCGGGCAAACCTTGACGTCCGCACCCCCCTTCCATCCTTATTCGCCTGTCAATCTGAAAGAACTGAGGGTGTTTGCAAATGCTTTTTTTTTTGCCCCTCGTCAATACAAACCCTCTTTGTGATTCTGAAGGAATAAACTGAGGGTATTTGCAAGACTGCAAGACCCAACTGTACCCCTCCCCCTGCCCCTTTCCCACAGGGCCCCACCCCCCTGCCCACAGGGCCCTCCCCCAGTCGTCCACTGCTGACGCCGAATACAACGGAGACGCGAAGCACCTTTGTCATCCCTGTCAGCTGTCCTTCCTGATGTTGGTCATATGCACCACTGCACTCACAGGATGCACTGCACCTGGACAATCTTCCACACAACGTATCACCCTGCGCATCACACAGAGGACAGCAATCTTCTGACATGTTAGCCATACCACTGCTCTTACATGTCAGCCACAACCCCCCTTCCTCCCCCGTCCTCTCCCCTCCCTGCAGACAGCTTCACAAAATTCGCCAACTTTCAACCTTCAAAGTGTTCTTCCGCTTTCTGTCAGCAACCACCAAACTTTCAACCTGCCGCCACACAGATACGCTTGTGCTTGCTCGTGCACACATCTTAGCCACCGCAGATGGCTTTCGGTCAGGAACCACGACCTGCCGCCTCATGGAGATTATCATTTTCTTGGATGCTACAGAACCGCACAAATTGGCACTTTTCCCCCACCACTACTTACCCTCTATCAGGGGTGCTGGAACGACATTTTTGGCATTGGCTTCCTTTCAAACCGCTAGTACACAGCGCCAGCCTTGCAGAAAGTTTTTGTCGCCGCAAGCAAAACTTGGAGGCGCCGTGCGGCCAGGGGCACCACTGACAAAAAAATCATCGGCGGCCTCCAAAGTGGTGCGGGTTTCATGCTGACGGGTGTGCTGCTGCTTAAAGCCTTGAAAGGGTGCAGGGAACTCGTTCTAATCCAAAACATGGTTGAACCAATTGCATCAAAGCCCATCGACAGCACGTTCGAACCCTTCGACTGGTATTGATTTACATCCCCGTTGGTGTGTGCATCTTTCACCTCCACCCTTGGTGAGAGGCCAAGGCAAAAAAAACAAAGGCCTACGGAAGCCACATGTTACAGCCACCCACTTCACATCCAGAAGCACTGCGCCAATCATAGTTAGAGAAAGCGTGTTCGAGCAAGAAATTTGCACGATCTCGTGTGACACCTGTGTGCCAGTTCACTTGCATGCGCTTCTATACATCTCCTGTCCCCACATTACACAACAGTTCTGGAATTGGCTGGACACGACTCATGCTCGGGAATCGCCAGCACTGCGGAGCACGAGAGAACACAGTCCAGTTAATCGCATCTTCGAGAACGAAACCACATTCATTCTCTCACCTTCCCCAGCAAGATCGTTTCGCACTGCTAGCAATGCTAGCAATGTCGTTCACAATCCCCTGCTAGCAATGCTAGCACGAGAGAACACAGTCCAGTTACTCGCATCTTCTATTCCTCCTTTAGCAATGCTAGCAATGTCGTTCACAATCCCCTGCAAGATCTCCCGTTGGTAAAGTAAGTGGCGGATACTCCGCCGTCCACCTTCTGCTCGACTCCTCGAGCACTACACCAATGTGGAAGCACTCTAGTGACAATAAATTGATTCATTTCCCCCTCCATGGCGCTGCCGCCACACGTGCAAAGCATGGGAACACTCATGGAATCACTCCAGTGTCTGCATAATAACTTGTTTCACTCAGTTGCCATGCGCGCTGGCTGTGCCGCGCGTGCAAATTGTGGAAAGAATCAATCAAACCGAGAGCGCAAATGAATTCACCTGTGCAAATAGACTGCGCACACACCACAGCCGCCCGGACGAAGGCTCTTGTTCGTCTGCCGAATCTGACTGCCCAACTTTTCTTTCGGCTGAAAGTAGTGACAGTTTCTGCCGATCAGGAAAAAAAAAAAGAAAGCGAACCAAACGAAGCCATTCCCATTCCTTTGTGGATGTTACAAAAACAATGTTAAGTCCTCCCGAGACTCGCCCGTCGAATTTACTGCACACTTTGATGCTTATCAATATGTGAAAGCTGCAGAATAACTGAAATGAATGATTTCAACTATACCCTCGCATTTTAACTATACCTTTGCATCCCGCCCCGCCTGATTCAGTCCAGTGGTCCAGGGAAAGCCTAGTCAACAGGTGGTGCAAGTCCTCGTTGTGCACTATAGGGGTGAAAGACATGCTTTTGCACATTGCCTCAAAATGTTAACCATGCATCTGCATACGTTCTGTTCTGTGTACAATGAGCACTGTGACACCCATGCAAAAGATATGCTTTTGCACATTGCCTCAAAATGTTAACCATGCTGCACACACTCCGATTGCACGACCTGCGACTCTCATCCGCGTTGACCCAGGCACATCTTACCCCTCCTCCACTGGGGGCCTTGCCCCCGTCATGGAACGATGCAGACCCACACACTCCACGTATTATGACCCCACCCACACCCTATCGACCTTCGCTGCCCCATTTTCCAACAAACATCTCTGCAAAGTGTTTGCCTGACAATTCTTCAAACTTGTGAACTTGCAAGCCTTGAAATGAACGTTGAGAAAGTATTCGCATGCTCGAATAACATGTCCCCCAAAATCTCATTTTGATTTCCTTGCTGCCTGCGCTGGCCTATGGAAACACGAACGCAGCCCTACCTCAACTCCATGACCAGTTCGAACCTCCACATTTTGCTTCCGTCAACACTGTCCGTGCACACTTCACACGTCAACACTGTCCGTGCACACTTCACACGACTCGGTTTCTTTGGCCTCTCTCTCTCTCTCTCTCTCTCTCTCTGTGTGTGTGTGTGTGTGTGTGTGTGTGTGTTAGGCACCAAAGGGGATGTTAAGATGCTCTGCGCCTCAAGGCATCCATAGACAATCTGCGTCTGTACATAGCGTTTCATCACATACTCATCAACTTCTTACCAACCGGGCACGCACTCGTTTTCACCACCAAAATCCAAGATTGATTGTTTAACCGCACCCGCAGACTCTTAGATAAAGGTGAAGCGAAATGAAGCTCTGAGGGACGAATGGGAAGGCCGCATGTGATGCCAGTGCATGAAGGAAATCCTCAACTGAGCAGAATCAATTGATGAGTGGACTGCTCAGGTGCGAACAGGCAATCAGTAAATAAGTACCTGGCTTCAGTCCTGGACCGGTGGAGACCTGGGTGGGCCAGAGAAAGTGTGTAGCTCTGTGGATTAGTAGACTGCTACCAGACCAATGCAAGGCTTGATAACAGCTCGCTAACCTCATGGAGCGAGGACCGGTGGACTAGAAGGCTGCTAGTGGCTCAGTAATTGCTTGATTGGACGCATAAGCCACTCAACCTGAGACTGGCATGTGGCGGCAGTCTCTTAACCATCTGAACATCACATTTTCCATGAAAGGGACTTCTTCCTGACCATTGGATGTGTGGAATACCCATCAGTAGAAGTCCATCCAGCCAGCAGTTGCGCGGCCGAGGTGTGCGGTGAGCACCGGTGCCAGGGCGTCATTCGACAGATCATTCGCTTGTGTGTGCGGCTGATGATCACGACAGAGCATGCACAAACAAGAAACAAACAGGCACAGAATTTGCTGCTGTGCAGAAGGTCCTTTTGTGTGAAATTAAGCTGGCGTTATGCGGCCATGCAAGGCAACGGCTAACCCTTGAGGAGAGGGCAAGGGAGGGGAGACGTGAGGAGTTATATTCGAAAACTGCCGTCATTTTCCCAACCACTTCATTTTTCTCATCTTCCATTGCTGCGGGGGTTACATGACCATAATGATGCTGATGATGGTGCTGTGCTGCTTCTAGGCCTCTTATCAACCTCCGGTGGTGGTGCCGGTCCCCCAGCAAAAGGGGTTGAATTGGGTGCTACTGACTGATAGATCGCGTGGTCATCATTATTGAGTCTCTGCATTGGCAAGGACCCTCTTCCTACAAGGACCGCTGGATCATGCAGGAAGGGACATCTTGAACCATTCCTACAACCTGTACTAGAGCCAAAGAACGCGCATGGAACCTTGCTCAGCCTTAGTAATCTCCCTCCTCCTCCTCCTCCTCCTCCTCCTCCGCCTCCTCCATGATATCCTGGTCCCATGTCACCTGCGCCTGCAGACATGTAGCCCATCTCGGGACCTTCCCCAAGCTCAAAACCCGAGCCTTCCCGAGACCCACATGCATCCACATGGTCAACCGTCCACTCTCTTGCATACCGATTTGCACCAAAATGGCCCCTTCCTCGCCCAGTCATCCCCCTACCCGCTCCACAGCCACCATGATACCTAGCGCCTTCAAGACCTGCTCTCTGCACAGCCACTCCCACTCCCGACGTCCCTACTCTGCCGCTTAAATCCGCCTCTGGGAGCATGCCACCGGCTGTGGGGGTAGACGCGTCGACGAAAGGCAGTGGGAATTGACAACCTGGTCCTGCAGTAGGAGGGCCATGCACATCTGAAACGGCCCTACATGCTGCTGTGGTATCGACATCATGGCCAGGATATCCGTCAGGAGACCGCGTATCACCTGCACTCTGTCCTGTCCAGGAGCTGGTGCTTTGGGAAGGCATCATTCGACCAATACGTAACGATTGCATGCCCCCTCCTAGATCGTTGCCACCATTCTGGAGACGAACCCCGGCAGAATTCTCAAACCCTGGTGGTAGCAGCGGCAGATCATCCTCCACTGCCCTGCTTCTGGAAGGCTGTTCTGCTAAAACCTGCACTGCCGCAGAGGGGCATTGGCGGCTTGCTGCCAAAATCCCGTTCAGCAGTGTACTGGCAGCGGCACCGCCCTCCCCGGGGCAACAACCAGTTTTCAATGCAGGGGCATGCGTGGCCACCGTCGACGGGCAACCTCCCCCGGCACCCGCGGGCCCTACCCTGGACTCGTTCACAGGAGCCAAACCTCCCAGAGGTGGGCCCTGCCTTGCAATTCCTTCTTCTTTCACTTTACTCTGACCGCCTCCACTTCCTTGCTGTTTTCCATCAGCTGCTGCAGCTAGTCCTTGAGACGACGTGGTAAAGTCCAAGGAAAGATTGGTGCCCCGCTCAGAAGCAAGATCTGCACCACCACAGCTCCCGTCTCCACAGCTGAGAATATTGACGGCGTCAGATTTGGTCTCCCCGCTGCCCGGGGGCAGGAGCGTGTTCATCAAGGACGGATTTTTTAGTATCTGGAGCAGAAGGCCCTGGTCAATCATATTGTCCACTCCGCTACCCCCCAATCCCCCCAGTGCAGCAAGGACAGCAGCGGCCACCATAGTAATGTCGGCTGCGGAGGGAGGAGGCGCAGCTGCTTTCTCAGAAGGCCCGCAAGAGGGCGTCTGCAGCACTACAGCCTCCTGCTGCTCTTGCTTCTGCAGGCTTCCATCCCCCCTACCCTTTTGACTGCCACCAGCAGCACCCACAACCCCATTGCTATCTCCTCCTCTTACAGAGCCAGGCGCAGACAACACAGGACTCTGAAGACCTACAGTCTCGTTTGCCACAGTCCCAACGGCCCCATTCCACATCGTTCTCCTCACTGATGAAGATTCCAACTCTGGGGACATAGAGACCAGCCCACGGAGAGACTCATCTGAACAATCTTTCAGTGGTCCCTCCACTTCCATGCTTGCTGGGGGACAGATCTCAGAGCTTGCATTTCCATGGGCCCATGAAGTGCTACCGCCGCTGCCTCTTGAACCTTTTGATGCCATCCCTGCTGTGCAAGTTCCAAAGCATTATTAGAAAAAAAGACAACGACATGAAGGAGAGGCGATCCTCCCCCCCCCCACCCCCCTTTGACACTCCATGCCCTCAACCACAACAATAGAGGAAGAAAATACCGCGCACAGAAAGCCTTTGCAACACAAAAAAAAAACTAATCACTCGCAACTGTGTCCCGGCCTGCCTCTGCTCATAATTGAGGAGTGCGAACACGTTTATGACCGGGACTTTACATCACAACAACTCGCAGAACAGGTGAATTACTGAATGTGATGGACACATCAAGCTCGCATTTCATCTCCCCTTTCTCTACAGAACAGCACCGACGTGTTTTTCTTCCCTCCCACACTCGACCTTTGCAGTTCTTTATCCTCGCCCTTTCGCACACATACGTTAGTATTGTTTTCCCGTCCGTTCAATCATCCAGTCCCCACCTTGCTCCCCTAACTCTTCAATGTGACCATTTGCGCTTCTTTTATCACATGTATTCACACTCGTAATAGTTTTTTCTGTCATTTTCTTTCCCCATCTCCCTTCTGCTCAACCATGCCACTCTAGTCGTTCACTTGTATTTCCAATTTTTCTTTCCCACTTTATCGAGATCAACACGGTTTTCTCCACCATGGTCACCTGAAGTCTCTTCTTCACCGATCATCATCCTTCAGCCCCACCTCCAAGCAAACAGGCAAAATGCACTTGGCGGGACATTCTCAGCATTTATGCAGTTTAGGCTTCAGCTTGTGCGGCAAAATGCATCCAAAGCTCGTGCGGCAAATTGCTGAAAATGAACTATACCTCTTTTTTCGCTTTTTTCTTATGTTACTCCTCCCAACCACCCAAGCCAACTCAGCCTTTTGGTTATAGGTGGTTGCCAGACAAGAGCCGTTGGTCGTGTGTCTGATTCTCGGATTGGATATGCATCCACGGGCTTCATCGTCGAAACTGGTCCAGCGACATGCATGCCACGCAGCGGGTACGAGGACAAAACCTGCATGCAACATTTTTACTGCAGCCGTCACGACCACCGGCATGATCTGCGCACCGTGGTCTTGTGCATCTGAGTGCGCACACAATGACGCATGCTTTGCATGTGCGTACGTGTGAACCGACCCTCGGTAAACAAAGACTTCACAAGGTGGGTGTGAACTTCGAAGACGTGAACATGCGACGTCGTGTGCATGGAGGATTTCGACCACAACAGCCCCCCATTCCCCCCCCACAGATGATATGAGCAGATTTCAATAATGCCAATCCCGCTTCCACACAAAGTGTGTGGCGGTGTACATGTGCATTCGTGTACGCGTGCGTTCCTTCATTCCCCATAGCATAAGTTCACAAAAAAGTGTGCATGCGTGTTGCGTGTGTGTTGCGTGAAGTTGCGAATGCCCTTGGTCGCTTTCCGGAACATGCAGAAAACTTGAAATCAAAAGTCTGCTCCAAAAACAAACCAGCGGATGCCCGTTTACTAGTGTGCGCATCGAGTGTCTGGCTGTCGCTCGACTGCAGTGCACACACATGTGGGAATCCACAAGAAATCACAAAATCAAACCGTCAACACAAGACACCATTACACAGCTGCGCATTGACAAGGCATCGCAAAACAAGACCCCATTACACCCCAATCCGGACATCGCTGCAGTTAAGAAACTGGCCCACACATCTGACCCTCGTCACACAATTACACTACAGAAGGAGAGATGTACGGACACACCCGCTCTCTAAACACGAGACGCTAACATGCGCGGTCTTAACAACAAGACGGATCAACGTGCAGTACCAGTAATGCTGTCTGCGGCCTGCGACTCACGGGGTCTTTCCGCGTCCACTGCCAAGTAACTCTAGCCCAAGAGGGGCCAGAATACACCACACACGGAAGAACAGACTATGCAAACTCTCACTCCGCTCGCAATACATTCACCTTGCCGAGCTGTCAAACAATAAATCTCCACCTGCACAAGATAGGTTGCTCGAGCTGTGCAGTCGATCTGCAGTCCTAATAACAAAGCTGTGTGTCCCACATCGACAGCGTTAGCGCAATTGTTGGCTCGGATGAGGCCAAAGCTCTCATGCAAAACCAGCAGCACTCGTCTCAAAGCGCACATATATTATAGGCTCTCTCTCGTTGGACACGCTAATTTCCACATCCAAATCAAACACAACACTGGCTCACACCACCCGCACTAATCTCAATTCAAACAGGTTCTGTGCCTGGGTGCACTAAACACAACGTGCAAGATCCTCTTGCAGGTGGCCCCAATCGGCCCCGTCAGCTCAGAAAAGATTCATCTACCAGAGAACTGCCAGCAACACAATTGCACCAGCCAAGTCGCTTGCGCAATTGGTTTCTCACAAGTGCACCTGGTCTTCCTGGCTGGGCCGATGCCTCCCCTGCCCAGATTAAATACGTGCGTCGGCCGTTCTGCCGTCTCCGAGCCTGTTCCTGACACGGGTGCAGCCTATGAGAAGCAGTCAGAAACCTCTATGAGTCTGCACACACACAGCTCAGCCAAGGTGCACAACTCGACTAACTGAACGCAGTCGCATGTACTACCTCCACCCGGTGCTGCTGCTGCTGCCCAGCAACGGGCTTCAGACAGGAGTACAGCATGTGTATCAGTGCTCCTGCTACCTGGCAACGAGCTCCAGACAGGGGTGCAGCCTGTTAGAAATAGGTAGAAAACTCTCTGAGCCTGCAAACACACAGCTTAGCCAAGGTGCGCACCTCGACTAAATATAAGCAGTAGCCAGGGTGCGCACGTCAACTAAAGAAAAGCAGTAGCCAGAGTGCGCTAAAGGCAGCCAAATGTACTACTACCTCCAAGCGGTGCTGCTGCTGCCCATTGTCTAAGTCTGCGCACACACACACACACACACACACTCACACACACACACACAGCACACAACTTCCGGCCATTGGCTCCGGACAAGAGTACAGAGCATGTGGGAGAAGGGTCAGCACGCTGTCACAGTCTGCATACACACACACGGCTCACATTCCACAGTAGTCCTTGGGTTGCGTGCTACCTCCAACCGCACCCTGTGTCCTTGAGAGTCTGCATATGCACACAGCGGCTTCTCCGATCGACCAACCTCCTGAGTCTACAACCTAATACGCTGGGATATTGACACGGTCCAACCAAACGCAAGACGCACCCTTGCGCTCAAACACTTCATGTCTGAGTTCGACGACAAAAGGAAAAGGATTAAGAGTATCAAACTCGGCAACCCCTCCTCACAGTCTCACTACCTAGACTAGGAAAAATTGGTACACGTGTTTGGATCTATATCCGTCCGGAGCTGTAGATGGACCATCTTCTTGCAAAAAAGGTGCTGCTGCATCTGCAGGTCTGTGCATGCAGTCGGTTATAGCACACATCATCCATACCTGCCCATGTGTTCATCACAGGAAGGTTGTGCATTTCTGCATGTGAAGATTGTTGTGCTCTCCCATGGACCGACCCATGTGCATGTGCATGCGTGCATATCTGTGTGTGAACGCTCCTGCATGCGCATGCGTGCATATCTGTGTGTGAACGCTCCCTGCATGTGCATGTGCATATGCTTGTGCGCAAAGAGTAAAACAAAGGACAGTATTACAATGGCAGAGAAAAACAAAACAACAACAAGACAACAGCTTACCCAAGAGTGCACTGCACGGTCACATGTTCGCATCACAAATACTGCGCTGTCACAAATTCGCATTGCATCACCGCCCACAAGGATTCCCTCCCCAATCCACACACATCACAATCCTCAAGAACACAGACCACTACTGCGCACACGCTGGAAAATTTTCCGCTGCAAAATTCACAAGTTACTCGCATCCACATAGATGCCAGCTCATGCTTCCATTCTTGAAGACCCACCTTTGTGCAAGGGTCACTTCTTCCCCGCCCTCTACAAACCCGATACTACCATCACAGGCTTTGGTCGACCTTCTTTTTTGACGTGTACCACGACGAACATGGATTCACACTCCAGGATTTGATGTGTACCACGGCGAACATGCTATCACACTCCAGTGTTGACGATGTCTGCCATCGTTGCTCCCAAATAAATGTATGTTGTTGCAAAAAAAAATCGCATAGCTATTCCAAGTTTCTATTTCATTTCTTTGCTTAAAAGGGGGGACGGGGCGACTGCCTTGAGATACCATGACGGCCTTGAGCTTGAGATATCGTCTTCCAACTATTGCACCCCAGCTAAATTCAAATTTATTTTTTATCAAATTTATTTTAACTCACATTGGTCGAATTTGGTCCCCATCGGTACTCTAACTCAGGTCTCCATTTCAACTGCGCATGGGTGTCCCGTGTGCTGGGGCTGTTGGTTGATACATTGATTTCTCTTCCATTGTCCCTTTTTTCCTTCTTTTTTTTTGCCAACGGTGGAAGAGTACATGTACTCTTTTCACATCTGTACTTTTCAGGGATGAACATCTGTAATTTTCAGCTCTGTTTTTTCACAGGGATTTCCTCTTACCTTCTGTTTCCGTTCACATTACCCTTGCGGTCTCATCATGTAGGTATGAAGAAGAATCAAGTCGATAATGATCTCGTCCAGAGCCCGGACCATCACAGGTACAGTCAGATACCTGCCACCGCACTCTGGTGGCCCCTGCCTGCTCTGGGTCATGGTCGGGCATCACAGATCAGTGACGTTCTCGAACCTGACGAGAGCAGGGAGTGGACACCACACAGATGCAAAGCCCACCTTTTCTGTGTTTTTTTTTTTTTTTTTTACGTCAACTCTTCATCACCATCCGGACGGATGGAGGGACATTTATGTTCTTTTCTTTGTAATGAAGAAAAAGGTTAAAAGGAATCGAAGGTCTAACACAGCAAAGACGGATGTATTGTGCTGGGCCTTTTCCCCTTCGCAGGTGCGCATGGGCGGGGCTCACGAATGCCTGCCATGTTGAAACAACTGCGTGGAAACCAAACAGAGAATTTACATGTGACCGACCGTTACTTGAGGAAGGAGAACCAAAGCCTCCCCTGCTCCTCTTCTCCGTGTATCCAAATTGCCGGGGATGGCACCGAGACGCTCATCTTATCTCTTCAGGGCAGTAGAAACAACGACACCTGTATGTAGATCGCACAAGGGGGGGGTGGCAGATGTTGGCCAAGATTGGAAGACGATCGTTGAATGGCCGAGGTCACCTGTTTTGTTGCTTTGCCCCACTAAATATCAGACCACTTAAATAAGGGAAGAGGGTAGAGTGAGCGGGCCATTCAAGTCGAACCTGTTCATGCGAGAAGGGAGGAGCATATTAAGGCATTGATAATTGCTTTATTAGGAATAGGAAAAACTCGGGCAAGCAGGAAATCCAACTCTGCTGCTGCCATTTAGCGAGCGAGGAGGGTGAAGGGTGCTTATCTGCGGGATCCGGCACTCCGTCAAGCACCAAACGGTTGGATGCTGCTTCAGAGGGAGGACAGAGCCAGGGAAACTTCGGCGAGAAAACAGGCATATCAACAAGGAAAGAGCAGGAGGCATGCAGCGCACAGCGGGGGGCAAGGGCGGCAAGTGGGGCAAGGGGGCAGAGTGCAGTGTGGGGGCGGCAGGGGAAGCAAGAAGGGCGAGGAGAAGAGAAACAATCCCTTTGACTGCGAGATAGCCTCTGTCAAATCAAATCAATCCCCATCCCTCTGCTCTACTGATTCCGAGCCAGCAGCAGAACACACAAGACCTCTCGAGCAGGAGGTAGGTATCACAGTGTGTGACATCTACGGTTGTCATAATGTACAAAACTAGCATCACACACTCCTGTGAAAGCGATCCAGGGAGGGGCCGACCGACGAGTGAGTTTATCTGCACTCCTTCCTGATTTGCATGAAAGCCAACATAGGCATCTAAATGATGACAACAAACTCCATGGCTTCACATGCCTCGGGCAAGGAGGCTTCATCCACGTTCCCCACCTCACTCGAGTCACAATCCTTTGATACACAGGCCACCACCAGGTCCTCCTTCCAGAAACTTCTCCTCCTAGCAATTCCCCAAATACCCTCCCTTCCTCCCTCCCTCCCTCCCTCCCTCCCTCTACCATTCCCTCTCTCACCACCCCGTGTCAAGTCTCCTGAGCCACCCAAACCTGCACAGTACTTTTCGAACCGACGGGGAGATATTTCCTGCATGGCAAAGACATACCCTGGCCTTGCGAGGCCGCCACCCATGGAGACATGTTTGGATTCCCTTCTCGAGCCGCTGGCGTCGGTACCTCCTCCCGCATTTCATTATGCTCACCATCTTCTTGCACCTCCGCCATCTCCTCGTCCTCCTGAGCGACCACCGAAATGGAAGGCGTCATGCCGTCATCATAATCTTCCTCTGCGGTCACCGGCTCAGCAGGGCTGCATTCCACCCCACGGTGCATGTTAGAAGAAGAAGAAGACAAAGAAGACCGCAACCAAACACTGTCCCAACTCTCGCTTGATTCCAATTGATCCACATCATGACGATCCTTCAGACATACCTCAAGTTTAATATTCTCATTTGATTGCAGAGCAAGACTGACCATTCCTCTTTACTAGAATCGACACAATGCAAAAGCAGATTCCACAAAGAGATCGGAGCCATCCTAACTGCAGCGCTTCATCTCGGAAAAAAAAAAAAGGGAAAGAGAGAGACTACGTTACCGGAGTGGCGCGGGACCATTTCCCCGGCCGGGCCAAAAATGAATTAAAAAATAAAAATTAAAAATATGTACATTTTTTTTAATTAAAACTTTTGATTTCGCAAAGAATTTCGGTCCGACCCTGAGGCAAAAGTTGTTCGGTTTATTTTTCTGCTCAACATTTTTTCTGCGCATTTTTTTTTAATACGGGGACCTTCCCTGGTCCTTGCCCAGCCAGGCAGCCCGGTTCATGACACAGGAAAGTGCTTCTGGGATGGTTATTTAGTCAATAGCGCATGAAGCTGCAATCTTTTCATCCATCGGTGGCACTGGTCGAGTGCAATGGGGGTCTACTGGGCCAGCAACTGCCAACAGTTAATGCCCCAACCCTCCACGCACCCGGTCCAGTATGCATAAAGTGGGACACTGACCTTGTATATTGGGTTCGACACACAACTCTTCAGAGCATTGTAATTCTTCACAATTATTGAATTTTAGTAATCGTTTACTTTGTTCTATCCCCAGTTCTCCTGGGATGGTTATTTGGACATACCCTCGGCATACATTAGATGCCGGCTATCCTTCATACATCGCTTTTTTCTTTTCAGACTTATCTGAATTTGTTTGCATTTCCAAAATTGTTTGCATTTCTGCAACACCAATTTCACACACGGGAGTTTTGCATTGCCAGCATGCCCACCACCTGACATTACAAGTCCCCTTCTAAGCGTAATAAATACTGGTTCGGTGGTGATGATCAGAAATGAACCAAACCACACTGGACCAGTTGACGACAAGTTCCAACGTCATCGACCACATCATGCACCACAGCTCAAGACCAGCTCTGGCGATCGCTGGGCGCCCCAAGATGAAACATCGCAACTAATGGCCGAAAAAAGAGATCCAGAACCATGAAGTACTCGAAAGAGCTCTGCGTTTCGCGTGTTTAGTTGCCACAGGTCAGACCCAGGAAGTGCTCCCAAGTGATCCTAAGTGAGAAAACGACTCATCTTTTCCATCTTCCAATGTGGGTCAAAGGGGATGCTATGCGGAAAGGACACTGAATTCCTTCAGGCAGGCAGGGAGTCTGGAAATCCGAAGTGCACCCAAGTGATCCTGAACAAGAAAATACGTGTCTCATATTTTCTATCTCATTAATGTGGGAAAAAGAGGATGCTCTGCGGAAAGAACACTCAATTCCTTCAGGCAGGCAGGCAGGCAAGCAGACAGTCTAGAAAATGACGATGGCAGTGATCTGGGTTGCTGGACAGATCATATCTGGGTATACATCTCATCTTGTCTTTCTTCTTCTTGTGTCAAAAACGGGTTACTCTGCAGAAAGAACACCACCACATTCCTTCCGAAAAACGTACAAATGAACCCGCTGAGTAACCCATTTGTGAATCGACTTCTGGCCTCCAGTTCTTTTTCCTTTGTTTTCTGACCCCCTTATCAAGAAAGGCATGCCATGCCAATCAATCTATGGACCTCCCAACTCCCATGCCATGCAACACACTCCGACTCCCATCTTCACATATCCTGCTATGATTTGCAACATACCCTCCATCGAGTCGGGTATTCCTCTTCGCTTTGCCACAAGGAGACAGGGTAGGGGCAGTGGAAGATTTGTGCTGGTTGGCCTCTAAAAAGGTCTCCTTACAATACAAAAAATCCAGTAGAAAGGCCCCAGTAGAAAGGAGACAAAGGGGGGCGCGG